CAACAACAACAACAACAACAACAACAACAACAACAACAACAACAACAACAACAGCAACAACAACAACAACAACAACAACAACAACAACGACGGCAACGACAATAATTATAATAACAACAACAACACGCTCAAACACACCGTTGTTCAGGAAGAAACACAGATACAACCACACCACCCCTCATCCACTCACATTAGAAGGTCAGCCATCTTGGCGTCTGGGACATAATATTATCAATTAATCATATCCTTATCATGATTCATTTACAAGTAGCCAGATAAGACGACAACGACGACGACGACGACGACGACGACGAAAAAAACAACAACAGCCAGAACAACAGCAACAACTCCAGCACAACCACCACCACCACCAATAATAACAGCAGCAACAACAACAGCAACAACAGCAACAAAAGCACACAAACACACACACACACACACACACACACACACACACACACACACACACACTGTCGTCCAAATACAACCACAACAACTTCCATCCACACACATGAGAAAGTCAGACATCACGGTGTCTTGGTAATAATATGATGATTCTTTCAAAAATTGCCAAGTGCTATTTACGACGACAACAACAGCAACACCAACAACACCAAAACAACAACAACAACAACCACCACCAACAAGAACTCCCATGCACTCACATAGCAAGGTAAGACATCATGGCGTCTGGGTGGGACAATTGAAACTCCCCATACCACCACCTCGGGATGCCCGGCTGGCCGTTCATGTGTACAAACTTGTGGTTCGTTGTCTTCCCTAGTAGCACGAGACCTGCTTCAGGCTGATTACTCAAGGAGCCCTCACTGGAAACAAAACGACAGATTAAGAAAATGAATGTGTAGTCTATTGTATAATTTGGCTACTTGGAAGCACATAATGTGCCACTTTTCCCATAAGCTGTCCTACACAACGGAAGTGCTGGAAGTAATATTTCGCGAGGCGCACTTTGTTTTGATAGTATAGATCTAAACCTTCTAATTTTTGGCATCTCTCAAGATGTAGTGCTCAATTCCTGTAGAGTGTGAATATAGTAGACCAATGACTTTCAGTTGATGTTAATGCACCTATCATTCCTTTCTTCGAAAGTGGTAAAGTGAGGGACATTCCTTGTAAACCGCCTTTCCCAAGGGCTTTACGGTTTTGAGACTGAGAGCCTAAGAGCACCGATGCAACATCTTTCGCTGTCTATAGCCAGATACCCATTCCCACGTATAATTATTATGTCCTCACCCACCTTGGTCCTTCTTCTCTCGGAGTGTTTATCCCGTTGGGCCCTGCCCCTGCGCCCTCTTCCTCTCTGGGGGGAAAAGAGAAAAGAAAGGAAAATTAAAACATAGATCTATTACTTAGTCAGAAAAAAACAGAACTCGCTTTTTTTTGGTAAGTGTCTTACGGCAGTTGCAACACACTAGGGTAATAAAAGTACGGAAGATTAAAGGTGTTACATTAGAGTAACAAACACAAAAAATGGAGGAGAGATACGGACGATATATGTTTGATAGGAAAGAAAGAGAAAACCACAGCTGAGCAACCACCACCCACCCGTAAGTAAAACGGAGAATGGCAATGGCTAAAAATAGCTTTAATAAAAATGAGTCCAATCTTGAAAAATAAAAACATCTCAAATCCTATCAATATAAGCACTCTGATCAAAAGCTACGTGTGTCAACCCCTTTGGACGGCTGTGAATGCCGAACGTTCACTATAGACACTGGAAGTAAAATCAAAGTGATAGAAATGTCGTTTATTTGGGGACTGATGAAAATTTCTTGTAAAGAAAAGAAATCAAATGAGGTAGTACTTAAGTTTTAGTAAATGTTTTACGGCACTTGCAACACAATAAGGTCATATAAGTGCCGAAGATTAGAGGTTTTCCAAGAGAGTAACAAACACAAACAAAGAAGAGAGATAAGGACGATAGATGTGTGATAGGAAAGAAGAAGTAAACCACACCAGAGCACCCGCCAACCACCCACGAGGTAGTACTTGAAGATGTCCATGTGGGCCGTTCGAGGATAAAAGCAATCAGGAAAAGACAAAATGCAGTTTACGGGACTCTTGAATGGACATAAAAGCCTGGAACTTCTAGCTGTCAGGGGTAAAACTGATGACAAACGAGGCAGTGGAGGACTAAAGCAACTATTCGGAGAGCTTTACGACACTTGCAACACAATGAGCTCATACAAATATCGAAGATTCGAGAAGTAACTAGATAGTAACGTACACAAAAAAGCAGGAAGAGAGACAAGGAGGATAGAATGTTTGATAGGACAGGAGCAAACCACAACAGGGCTCCAGCCAAACTATCCATGCCTTTTGGGACAGTATCACATTTATGGTACATGTTCTGGATAAGGACATATTTATGAAACGGCGGGCTTTTGTTTATCAAATTCTTCAAATTTTGGGGCTTTTTGTTTTGTTTTGTTCTGCTTTATTTTGTTTTGGAGTGGGGAGGGAGAGATCATTATTTCATTGTCATTATTTCATTGTCAAGGGGAGTAAAGAAGGAGGAGGAAGAACACAAACGAGAACAAGAACAAAAAAAAACACAAGAAGAACAAGGAGAATAGGATGAGGATAAGGGAAGAGAGGAGGAGTAGGAGGTGGAGGAAGAGAAGGGTTGAGAGGAGGAATACGGATGAAGAACGAAGAAGGAGAAGAACAAGAACAAGAACAGCAACACCAACACCAACACCAACACAAACACCAACACCAACAACGTAACTACAGTAAAAACAGCAACTACAGCAGCATCAACGGCAACACCACCACCAC